AAAAAAACAATAGTCAAACTGTAAAAAAAAAAAATTAAAAAAATTGATTGACCCTAACCAAAAAAAAAAAAACAAAAATCACTCAAGGTGTGGCATCATCATCATCATCATCATCATCGATATTGAAATTTGAAACAAAAAATTCTTTCAAAGAAAATTTTGCTCAATCAGAAATTGTGTTTGGATCGAACCAAGAAACAGAAACAAAAAAAAACATTAATTACTTGTTGCTGTTAAACGAATTAATAGTTAATAGTTACTTAGGCCCCTTTTTTTTGGTTAATAATAACCTATAATTAAAAAAATCAAAACTTGCTAATAGGAATTAAATATTTGGTTGGTTCAGGTTTGGTTGTTTATTTTGGTTAATTTTTTTTCTGGAAAAAAATTTCCAAATTTGAAAAAGCAAAAATATGCAAAGTAACCAAGATTTTGGTCAGGTAAAATTGGCTGGATGTTTCGGAAACTTTTCGGGAAAAAAAAAATGTTTTCGGAAAAAATGATTACCTTGATTATGGAATTGATGATTTGTTGTTGTTGGCATTGTCATTGATAATTTTGAACGTGGTTCACGTGGTCCATCAACAGTTACTTTAATTGCTTTATGATATAATGCAACTAACATTGGTTTTGTTTGTACCAAAATCGTCAGGGAAAAATGTTTACCACGTCCTGATCGGGCAACAAACCGTAGATCATGAAATTTTGCTACACCATTCTTGGTTACAGCCATACCATTACGTATTTCACCAAAACAATTTTCTTCATTACCGGCTTTTACCTGTACGATTGTACCATCTTTTATCTGTTGACCATTACAATCACTCAATATTATCACTTTAAATGTATATGGTAATGATTTATTCAGACGCCAATGTGTTGGTAATTCAGTACAAAGTATATTTGGTGCACCTGTTCTTATTAATGGTGATGTAGATATAGTCGATGTTGATGTTGTCGATGATGAAGATGATAAACTGCCATTAACACTGTTTAAACCAAAATAATTATTTGTTGAATGTTTTAAATATTGATCCAGAATTTCATCGTTCCAGATATCCATTTTTGTTTTTGGTTTATCGTGGATTTTCGTCGGGTTCAAAAATCAAATGACAAACACGGAATACACAGGTAACACACACATACACACACAGGTAACACAATCTTTGGATTTTTTCAATTAAAGAATTTTCACGAATTTCATTCCGTCGAAGTTACACGATCAAAAAATCACCAACAAACATTTGACCATCATCATCATGATCATCGACAATCCAACGATCAAATCAAACTAACCATCATATACCGGGGTAGATAGCGTGAATGAAAAAAAAATTGGGAAACACCACCACCACCAACATATGCAAAAGAAACATTTATTACATGCATGCATGAATTGTTGTTTTCGATGATGATGATAATGGTCGTGGTCTCTTTTTTTTCTCACTTTACATATAGTTTTTTTTTCTTCTCTATTTTCCAGTTCAGTTCAATGTTGTTGTTGTTGTTGTTTACTTCTGTTTGTTTTTCAAAGATTCCATCATTATCATCAGTTTTTTTGTTCATTGTTTCGGTGTTTTTTTTTTTTGTTTGAAATTTTATTATTTGATTTCGTCATCTGATTCCGTTTTTTGTTTTTCTTCATCGTCACTGATGATGATATTTTCGGGGAGGACAAAACAAAAATTGACCAAAACAGTCGGCTTTTCAGTTTTTATAATCAAACAAATAATAATGTTGTCTGTCGGCTTAGATAAGAAGAAATTCTTCGAGAAAGATTTTTTTTTCATTTCATTTCAATTTTCACAAAGTCATAAAAATTTTGAAATTTGAAATCATCATCATGATGATGGTGAATGGTTAACAATCTCTCTCTCTACCCCCCAAATCCCCGAAAAATGGAAAATTTTTTCCCTTATTGATTTTGACAAAATGTTTTTGTTTTGCAGAAAAAAAAATTCTAAATTCTGAAATTTGATTCTGTTTCAAATTTGGTCGGTTGGTTGGTTGGTCAAAGATTACATGATTATTGTCTGTTTGTTTTTTTCACCCAAAAGTCTTTTTTTTTATGACTTTTGAAGTTTAACAAAAAAAAAATGATTTAATGACAAAACTGACGACATTTTACTTGTTGTTGTTGTTGTTCTAAGTGAAAAAAAATGATTCGAAAAATTGATAAAAATCCA